GAGAGAGAGAGAGAGAGCCAGTGGTGAGAGAGAGAGAGAGAGAGAGAGAGAGAGAGAGAGAGAGAGAGCCAGTCACCTTCCAATTCACAGAGAGGCTCACAAACGCAGCAGCACAGAGTTGGCCCACACAAGCCCCTTGTGCCCCAGTCAGGTTTGTTCATTCACTCGTTCATTTATTCATTCACTTGACTGGTTTTTGTTTTTGTTTTGAGTCACGGTCTCACCCTGTTGCCCAGGCTGGAGTGCAGTGGCACAATCATGGCTCGCTGCAACCTCCACCTCCTGGGCTCAGGTAATCCTTCCGCCTCAGCCTTCTGAGGAGCTGGGATTAGAGACGCGTGCCACCACGCCTGGCTAATTTTTTGGTTTTCTTTGTAGACAGGAGGTCTCACTATGTTCCCTTAGGCTTGACTCAAACTCCTGAGCTCAAGTGATCCTCCCACCTCAGCCTCCCAAAGTGCTGGAATTGTAGGCATGAGCCACCACACCTGGCCTCACTTGACTTTTTATTATGACAAAATTCACATGTTCAGAAAAGCAGAGGGAATAAGCATAATTACCTTATTATACCATCACCTGAACGCGACAATGAACACTTTTCCATAGTTCATTCATCTTTTTTTCTAAAGTATTTTAAGTTATAGACATCATAACATTTCATCCCTTATCACTTCAGTGTGCCCCTTCAAAAACCAAAGAAATCTGCAGAGCTAAGATACCATCAACACACCCAATACAATTTTAATAACCGTTTAGGATCATCTAATACCCAGATTATATTCAAATTTCTCAATCATCTCCCAGATTTCTTTACAATTAGACATTCATTCCTTAAAATGCATTTATTGCTATGGATGGTGGCCACACTTAATCTGGTTTTGGGGTTGCAAAAGGAGGGTATTCAGGAACTAGCCAGACTATGTTGAGAGGACCAGAGAGAGCTCACAAGTTCACATATAGGTAGTCTGGGGCTAAACTGTAAAGTGGGGTGCTCTCAGGTAGGTTACAGCTACTTCACAGGGATCTTCCTATAAGTAAAGCTTAAATTCCTTGGGATCATATGCCAAAGAAATACTGGGCACAGGCAACCTCCCTCGGGTCCCCTCCCATCGTTGGAGCTTTTCTGTACTCTCAATAAATCCTGCTTTCAAAAAAAAGAAAAGAAAAGAAATATTGGGCACTCATTCATCCACTCATTCATTCATTCACCTTCCCTATGGAAAAAAGAGGATATACATTCACTTAGTCCTCCTGACAGCCCCGTGAGTAGGTACTATCATTATCCTGGTTTTACAGATGAAGAAATGGAAGCTATCAGCGATGAAGTAACTTGCCCAGGGTCACACAGGCAGGAAGTGGCAGCTCCAGAATTAAAACCTGGGCAGCCTGACTCAGTGTCTAGATGCTCACTGACTCTCTAATAAACAGACACATCCAATGGCCACAGAGAACAAGAAATCAGGCTGAGGGCTATAAGGGAGTGTGCATGTTTAGAAGTGTGGATGCATAAAAAAAAAAAAAAAACCATTTTAAATCCCTTAAGAGATGCAAATGGGCACTCAGAGCAGAAAGCAAGCTCATCTGTCTGGAGAGCTCATAGCCCCTGCCAAAGGATCTGAAAACATTTTTTATGGAACTAAGAACCAGAGAAACCCCACAGAGCGACCCAATCATTGCACAGAAGAGGTCAACTTGCCCAGCTCAAAGGGCCGGTTGGTAGGGTCACCAAAAGCAGAACTGTATCTCCTGACCGCTGAACACCACAGTTGGTGTAACCTGCATCTACTCTCCCTCCCCTGGATTTGACTAATTGCTATCTGTCCAAAAAAAAGGGGGGGGGGGTCAAAGAAAAATGAAATCGGTCTTCTGTTTGCCACAAAATTACAAATTCTAGATAATGGACGGGAAGAGGATTGGAATGACTAGTAGTTGTGTGTGTGTGTGTGTTTTATATACATATGTATATAAACTATATATATTTTACATACATATGTATATAAACCATATATATATTTACACACACACAACTACTATATGTATGTATGTGTGTGTGTGTATATATATATATATATATATATATATATATACACACACACATATATAAATCATATTTGCTTAAAATCAAAATACCTACCCCACTGGGGACTGCCAAAACATTGAACACAGAGCATGCAGTTGTTTGAAAACATCAGAAAACTCCAATGCGCGTGTGGCCCCACCCCAGCCAATAAGAGCACACCTGTGGCCCTGCCCCTGGCCAATCTGACCACTGGCGCTTTCACAGGGCCCCGCCCCCTGAAAGCCAATGCTAGGGAGGCAGAGCTAAGGAGAAGAAGTGAAAAGAGGGAGGGACACACTTCAAATATGTATACAATCAACTGACTTTTAACTGTGAGTGATGTTTTAAACATTTTCCAATATACCATGTATATATTTGGTGCTCTTCAATATCAGCTATTGAACTTGTATTATTGCTGCAGGTCTGGAGGGTATAGAGAATAGTAAAATGTTTCAGAACACTAAGTATAATTTGAACTAAGCAAATTTGCATGAAATTCGTTTTTATACCACGGATCGAATGTGGCCTCATTGTGGCCTGAATTACCCATGACCTCCTTCCCACCAGCTCCAGAGCTAACTGGAGGGGTAGGGAGACAGGAAGAGATGGCAAAGTAGGCTCTGTAAAAATGTCTGTGGACTGACATTTATTATTAGAAATTTACTTTTAGGCCGGGCAGGTGACTGACACCTGTAATCCCAGCACTTTGGGAGACTGAGGCAAGAGGATTGTCTGAGCCCAGGAATTTGAGAGCAGCCTGGGCAACATAGCGAGACCTCATCTCTACAATAAATCAAAAATTATCCATAAAAAATTATGATGGTTCACTAGCTACTTGGAAAGTTGAGGTGGAAGGATTGCCTGAGCCCAGAAGGTCTAGGCTGTGGTGATTGTGAGTGTGCCACTGCACTCCAGCCCGGGAGACAGAGTGAGACTCTGACTCAAAGAAATTAAAACATTTTAATTTCAAAGACATATCTTTCTTCTTGGCTTTTGGAGATCAACTTGGAGGCCCAAATGACTTCACAGGAGAAGGCTTTATAAAAGAGTAATATAAAACATAGGACCATGACCAGGCACAGTGGCTCATGCCTGTAATCCCAGCACTTTGGGAAGCTGAGGCAGGAGAATTGCTCAAACCCAGGAGTTCAAGATTAGCCTGGAAAACATAGTGAGATCATGTCTCTGCAAAAAACCCCAAAAAAATAGCTGGCCATGGGGGTGCATGCCTGTGATCACAGCTACTCGGGAGGCTGAGGTGGAAGGATCCCTTGAACCCTAAAGAGGCTGTGGTGAGCCAGCATCATGCCACTGTACTCCAGCCTGGCGCACAAGACAGAGTATGAGCCTGACTCAAAACAAAACAAAACAAAACAAAACCTTTATTTTCCTCACTTTCCCAAAAGGAAAACACTGACAGCAATTAAAATAATTAAGTCTGGGGCTAGGTATGTTGGGAAACCATAAAATATACTTCATAAAGAACATACTCCTTTCTCTAGTTGCATGCTCTTTGTTTATGTGCTAGTAAAACCAGAAAAAATGATAATAAAAAATACTTCTTTTGCCTTAAAGATAAACATTTTTCAAAATAAAGTCTGTAGCCCAGTGTGGTAGCTCACACCTGTAATCCCAGCACTTTGGGAGGCGGAGGCGAGAGGATTGCCTGAGTCTAGGATCTTGAGACCAGTCTGGGCAACTTGGCGAGACCCCGTCTCTACAAAAAATTTGCCGAGTGTGGTGGCGCATGCCTGTGGTTCTAGCTACTTAGAAGGCAGAGGCGGAAGGATCGCCAGGGCCCAGCAGGTGGAGGCCGGCATGATGGTGGGACTGCACTCCAGCCTGGGCAACAGGGCGAGATTCCAATTCAATAAATAAACAAACACACACACAGATAAGGACGGTAAATAACATGTATCTTACCCAACAGTTTAGGATTCTGGTTTCATTACTTAAAAATTAAACACTGATTTGCCTCTAGCAATAGGTCTTACATAAACAAATGACATTGAGTTGCTGTTTTCTTGAATATGCAAGAAAATCTACCTAACTAGCTGCATGTGCAGCTTTTATGCTTCTGACCAAGTCCAAACGCAGAAACTACTGATCTGGCAACACCAGCGTAGGAGCTTGAATTTGAATTTATGTTTTAATCTGCCAAAGCCTGCAGCAACCTGTGGAAAAGCTACACGGTGAGATGCCATGCCATAATCATGAATGAAGGTGCAGCCAACAGCAGGGGAACGGCTGTCTCTCCAATACCAGCTCCACTTCCTACGACAGCTGTGCATGAAGTGGATTGATGATGCTCATTTACACAGTGATTACATTAGCTTAATGACTCATTTGGCTGCCACCAATGCCCCCTCCTTTAAGAGAAAGCATACCTGCGTGCTGCCATCGATTCTGAGCATCGGTCATGAGGCATGACGGCCCTTCAGCTTTGCTTTCTGCCTGAAGCCAGGGTGATATTTCTGGTATCTATTTCAGATACTGGCCCCAATCTTGCAGGTATTGGAAAACAGCAGTCTATTTCCAGGTTCCCTTGGTAACCTAAGTAACCTAGACTTTGCTTAAATTACCTCCCATGAGCCAAATGCTAGAATTCTGGATGGCAATTGAGTGAAACCACCTCCTCTTTGGACACGGTGTGTGTAAATTTGGCCCAGGAGTGTGGATGCAGACGCCCACGCCCCCTTCAGTTCTTCTAGAACTTCTGTCCCAAGAAAGAGCCTCGCCTGCCCATCTTGTTTGAAGAACTCAGCACTCCAGTTTTCATAAGCCTTGGTGGATGTCTCCAGACCTTCCTAGGCATTGAAAATATGACCACGGAGGACACCCTTTTCTCGCCCTTTCAGTCCCTCAACTGTCACTCTTGGTCAGATCCAAGACACTCTCTTGGTCAGATCCAGGACACTCTTGTCCTCATCCAAGCTAGTCAAATGTGTAGGCTACTCTAGGTCTAAAGGAAGAAGAAAGGTAGGTCTCCATTCAAGAAGATATTGGACCCATGTGGTCTTCTTGTTTGCTCTAAAGTACTCAAAGTGAAGTACCTCGTTCCCTCACTCAGGTTAGTTAACAATATGCCAGATGTACAAGGCGATGTTTTCAATTCTGTGGCCAGTATACCACCATGGAGAACCGTGGGCCACCACAAGGTGCCTGTCAGTGCTCCCGTGCTGTGGATGCCTGTCTGTAAGCCTTCCTCAAATAGGCTTCCCCACGGAAACTGAGAAGGTAAAGTCTCACAGCAAATCTAAAGGGAAACCCGGCCTGAAACGAATGACCTCTAGTGCCTTTTCTTCCTACCCCAACACTTTAAGATGGGGGACTTGGGGCTGAAAGAAACACCAAGAACAAAGCAGAAGAGGAGTCTAAGGCTGTGAAGGCAAAGGGGCCATTCCATGGAATTCTGCCTGATGCTGGCAGATGAGATGCACCCATCGGTGGATCACACACACGAGCACAAACACAACAAGACACACTCACAGACACACACAAACATACGCAGACCCATACACACATTCACATACACAAATACACAACACATATTCACACACACACAGACACAACACCCCCTCGCCTGGGCCCAGGCAGACACAGACACACTCTCTGTCTTTGTCTCTGTCTCTCTCAGACACACATTCAGGTCACAGCTAGTCCCTTCATGTGAATTAGAAAGAGATGTACCTCCAGGAAGATGCAATCCCTGGGAGCCTGGCTTTCAGCCTCCACTCTGCCCTCTGCTAGGCGACTCCTCTGCAGGACACACTCTGCACAACTGCAGGGGATAGCCCTGTCTACACTTCCTCTCCTGCGCCAAGGTGGGCTTGTCTGCAGATGTGTGTGGTTGTGGAGGAGGGGAAGGACCACCAAGAGAGAACACAGCTCTTTCCTGACTCATGTACAGCTTCTTGTCCAGAACGATTCAGAGCTCGTAGGACAGGCCCTGTCTTGCCCAAGTAGGAGTCCCTCTGCGTGCACACGATTACCTGTTGGGATAGGTGACATTACAGGGCACTTTGCCTGTGTAATTCTCATTAAGCCAGCGATTCGCCAGTGCCTGCTGAATATTCGGTCTCTTCACAGGATCCGGTTCCAGGAGAGAGCGCAGGAAACTGATGGCCCCTGGAAGATATTCAGCAAAGAACACGCCCATGTTAGAGTCTGAACGCAGATACCTCCGAGAGCCACCACGGCGGGTGAACCCCACCTCACCTGGTCCTTTTGAGTCACCGCTGGGTGATCTATTCTCTGAGTCTCTGGGCAGGGTTTGGATTCAATGATTCGTAGAGCTTGGATACAGCCTTATCCTCCCTTCACACAGGTGGGGTCTTTAAAATTCCATTTCCTTCTCTCTCTCTCTCTTCTCTCTCTTTCTCTTTTCCTTTTTGAGTTGGGTCTTACTCTGTTGCCCAGGTTGGAATACAGTGGTATGACACAGCTCAAGGCAGCTTTGACCTCCTAGGCTCAGGTGACCCTTCCACCATGGCATCCTGAGTAGCTGGGACTACAGACATGCACCACCACATCTGGCTAATTTTATTTTTGTAGAGATGAGGTTTCATTATATTTCCAGGCTGGTCTCGAACCCCTGGACTCAAGCAATCCTACTGCCTTGGCCTCCCAAAGTGCTGAAATTACAGGCATGAGTCACTCTGCCCAGCTTCTCTCCCTCTTTGAAAAGGAGATGTCACATATCCAAAGAATTTAAGATATGTGTCCAAGGGATACAAGTGGTACGTGGCAAAGCAAGAACTAATTTGGGTCTCTTCAAGCTCTGTACTTCCCAAAACAAATTGTGATCTTTCCTTGCTGCTACAACGGAGCCAAAGAGGATGTTCTATTTACGTGCTTGAAGGGATGGAAGAAAGCAAACAGAAAATGCCTGCTCTCAAGATAGGTTTCTGAGTATCAGGAAGATGCCAGAAGGGTAAAGACATTCTGAGTTAGACCCTGTAACTGGGAACCATGGGACACACAGAGTCTCATGAGGTCAGGGAACCCTGCTTTCTGGTCCTTTCTTTTAAAGTCATTCTCTATCACTAACCACTACTTCCCCAAACTCTGTGAATGGATAATGCAACACCCAGACTGCACAGAGCCTATGTCCACCCAGTCCAGCCAATCAAGCGAGACGCCAGAGAGCCATACATTCTCTTAAACTGTGAAAGTAAGGCGGGCACTGGGGCTCACACCTATAGCCCCAGCACTTTGGGAGGCCAAGGCAGGAGGATTGCTTGAGACAGGAGTTCAGGACCAGCCTGGGCAACATAGTGAGATCCCCATCTCTACAAAAAAAAAAACTTTTAAAAATAGGTGGTGTCACACCTCTAGTCCCAGCTATTTAAGAGGCTGAGGCAGGAGAATTGTTTGAGTCCAAGAGTTCTAAGCTACAGTGAGCCATGACTGTGCCACTGCACTCCAGCCTGAGAGACAGAGTGTGACTCCCCCGCCACCCCATTTAAATAATCTCTGCACTGGTGACTCAAGTTTTAAAATCTGAGTGCACAAAGTTTCAGCAAGCACCATACTGTGAATCCATGTCTCCCTGATGGACCCTTCTTTTGTGCGGTCCTTTTAAAGGAAGGTGCTCCTTGGGTGGACTGTATGCTAATAATGTTTGTCCTTATGTTTCAGCCTCCCAGAGTTCACTGCAGTCACATCAGTCATGCTGAGCACAGCATGTAAGGAAAGGATATGAGAAACGATTGACAAAACTATAAAATCCCTACCATCCCTTTTCCTTCCAATTTCAGGCAAAAATCATTTTTTAAATGCCCTGAGTCTCCTTTCATTCCATAAACATTGTCAGAGCACCTGCTGTCCCCCTAAACACTAGACACAGGAAGCTAGTTCGTCTCTAGGCAGAATATTTGAATCGTTTAAGATTATAACTATGGCGACAACTGTACAACATGTAAAAATATGTTTATATGGCCGGGCATGGTGGTCCACTCCTGAAATCTCAACACTCTGGGAGGCCAAGGCAAAAGGATTGCTTAAGACCAGGAACTGAGTACCCGCCTGAAACTCCCTCTCTACAAAAACTTTTTAAAAATTAGCCTGGCATGATTGTGCACATTTGTAGTCCCAGCTACTCAGGAGGCTGAGGCAGGAGGATTGTTTGAGCCCAAAAGTTCGAAGCTGCCGTGAACTATGATCACAACACTGCACTCCAGCCTAAGTCACAGAATGAGACCCTATTTCTAAAAAACAAAGTTTATAATGCACATGAAGAGTATAGGCTACAGAATTGTTCAGCAGAAGAGCATACAACATATGTAAGGACAAAGAATGCCAGGGATGACTTCAGAATGAAGATGTCTGTTTTGCTTGAGTTGTGGGGCTGTGATATTTCATTCTACATTCTTTATTTTATAGTGCATTTCTATAATGTCTTTACAATATAAAAAAACATTCCTTAATGCAGCTTTGTACATGATTTTCAACACATCAAACAATAAGTCCTGGAAAACAATTTTAATTTACTTGGTCCCAAATTTGTCTATCCTTTTCTTCAAAGCTATTTTTTAGTCTTCTAAGTTCTCTTTTGAGAAGAGACATAAAAATTATCATTTTCTCACAGGCTTTAAATTGTCATTTTATTATTACTCTTAAAAGAGTGATGGGCCTTCTGTCAACCCACTTTCTGCAGGGCAAAAATGAGGCCATCTCTAAAGGAATCAGTTGTGAAGTCAAAATCAACTCAAGGCTGAGTATGTTGGCTCACACCTATAATCCCTTTGGGAGGCTGAGGTCACAGATTTTCTTGAGCCCAGAAGTTCGAAGCCAGCCTGGGAAACAAAGTAAGGCCTCGTCTCTACAAAAATAGAAATTTTAAATTTAAAAAATCATCTCAAAAGAAGCAACATTACGAGGTCATGCTGCCAAGTAACTCCTGTAGTGTGGGTTCCCATACTGCTGATATGGGGTCACCAGAAGGTTACCCTCCCTTTAAGAATGAGGGGATAAGTCATTGCTTTGTTAAAGTCTGGTGTGTCCATGTGGCTCCTTGAGCTATGGCTGCCATGTTTCTTGGCTTTGGCCCCCTGGGGCAAATCTCTCCACCTTGGGTAGAGGTGAATCAATCAATCAATCTCTCTCTCTCCCCCCCCTTTTACTTTCTAAAAAACTATATTTTTCAATTAAAAAAAGAATGAGTGGGTAAACACATATGTGTGGAAACTGTAACAGTCATGAGGTACACGTAAGTTTTACAACTGGATCAAATAAAACTTTCCTTCAATGTTCTTCAATGATTGAAAAGCAAACAAGTCTCCTAAAAAAGAGATGCCTCTTTTCTGAACCTCTATCTCCCTTCTCTTAACACCCCTACATTGCAAGAGTCATTTGGATCTTAACTAGGGGCAACTATTGGTCAAAGGAAAAAGATGTTGGCTTAGTGAATGAAAGCGGAAAGGCTGTTGAGTTAATGATGTTTTCTGAGACGGCTCTGTTGCTTACCCTCATAGAACCCAGGCAACAACCCAGGCTACTGGCAGGCTTTTTCAGAGTACGCTGAACCCAAAGTGCTAAGGACAAACTGGTTGTGCAATTTTTGTTCTATTTTCATAATCAAGAGCTCTGCATCTTCACAAGTTGCTGATGAGCACAAGTAATTTTAGTTCAAATATCCACTGATGAATTTTTATTTCTTTGGACATCACAACCATTGCATTACTATCCCAAAAGGACTTTGAGAACATCCTTGGAGCTCTGTAAAGTTCATGTTAGGGTCTTGAAAATCCCTATGTGTTATGAGGAGATTAAAACGCCCCTATCTTCCTGGAAAGCCACGCCAGACATAGCCACCCATTGCCCTCATAACACTTATGTTCTCCATTCAGGCTTGGGGAGGTGGGATGAACCACTTGGGTGCTCCACCATCCTGCTCAACCTAACTCAAAGTACACATTCTTCTGGTGCAAAGCCCACCATCTTTCATGAGCTGTCAGTGTTCCAAAGTCTGGATTGGCTTGTGTGAGCACCTGGACACTGTGTCGAGGGGACAGGCAAAGCCATTGGACGTTGTTGTTAGTATAGCCCAATGGATGCAAGCAGAGTTCCTTCCCCACACAAGATATCCTCCCCATCACTTCCCAAGCTAAATAATTATTTGATAGCCCCATAGTCATGCCTTCTCAGAAATCTTAATTAGTGCTGACTGAATCCTCCTAAAAGCTAACAATTCTCCTTCAGCTTGACTTTGGTGAATTTGTGGCGCAAAACCCTCTTGATTTAAGTGACAGATTGTAAAGTATTATAAATGCTAGCACTGAGGTGTGTGATGAAAAGGTAAACTGAAACATGTCTCAGCCACAAAAGAGGTTCACTACTGTGTGATAGGCAAGCACCAACAAGCAAAAGAAGAAACTGTCTAGCTTTAAGTTTTCAAACTACATGATAGAGACAAGAGGGAATTTTTTGGAAGCATGCTCCGTGATTCACAAGGGCAATAATGCTGTTTTCAACTCAGATTTGGTAAAAATTCTTCCAACTTAATCTAAAAAAGGAGCAGTAGAATAAAATAGATGTAATCATTATAAATATGAGTGACAGAAGCATCCAATCAATAAAGATGGCCGGGGCACTGTAGTTCACACCTATAATCCCAACACTTTGGGAGGCCAAGGCAGGAGAATTGCTTGAGCCCAGGAGTTCGAGACCAGCCTGGGCAACACAGCGAGACTTAGTCCACAGAAATTAGCCGGGCGTGGTTGTGCATGCCTGCAGTCCCAGCTACTCGGGAGGGTGAGACAGAAGGATTGCTTGAGCTCAGGTCGTCGAGGCTGCTGTGAGCCACTGCACTCTAGCTGGGGTGATAGAGTGATACTCTGACTAAAAAGAAAAAAAGGTAGGGAGAGGGGACAGATTGTTTAATAGGAAAATCAGATATAGAAATGCAATTCATGCTTGACAAGTCAAGACAACAAAGTCCTGGTGGAATGTGAAGATCTTTAATACACACAGAGCTTAAGGCCAAAGTAAAAGCTGTCCGCTCAGACCAGGGTCTGTGTGAGATCAGACACCAATTTCAGTGATACTGAAATTGCTTAGAACATTTTTAATATTTCTTCTTTGAAATTACCTTTGGACTATCTTTCCAACATCTTCAGGAGTGCAATTTTTCACTCCTTTACGGGTAAATTTAATATTCACAATCAAAAAACACTTAGAGCCCAGCTTGCTAGGCTATGTAATATTGTTGGAAGTAAAAACAAGGCACGGTTCCAAAGTGGCAAGACGGATTTTCTTGTATTATTAACCTGCCTTGCCCTTGCCTGGCTGCCCAACCTGTCGTGATGAATGCAGGCTGAGATACCCGCTCCTCCTCCCACGTCCTGTGTAGGGCTCACACTAATGCTGTTCGTCAGATATTTCTGGCTTTCCACATGGTAGGGTTGCACTGCCCTATCCCTTTAGTTGAAAGAAGTCATGTACCCTGTTTTAGAAAGCTAGGAGTTATGAGTGGAAGTGATGTATTGGTGGAAGATTTAATTACGGTGAGACCATCTTTCCCTTTCCCTCTACATGAACCAGAAATGTTGGAAATGGTGGCAGCTACATCAGTCTGGGGTCCTATGTTGGGCAGAACCCTTCAATGCTTGATCCAACTCTCGATAGATATATAGCATGAGTAAGAAATAAACCTTAGTGGTCTTGAACCACTGAGACTTGGGGGCTGGTTGTTACTGCAGCACAATGTGGCCTATCCTGACTAATACAATGAGAGGGCAGCAGATCATCAGGAAATTCAAAGTGAGTACTGTTTGCCCTTCCCAAGTGTGAGAGTACAAACATCCTCCCTTTGTCCTTTGCTATAGGTCACTTAGGACAAAGTGGGCTCTGAGCCATCAGAAGAACTACAGAATCACCTAGCAAGATGGCAATATTTATAACTATATGACCCTTAAATAGGCTGCTTTGAAAGATTGCATTTATTTGTAAACATTAAATCCTATATGCTACCACAACAAGATATCATTAGACCCTTATCAAAATGACAAAAACAAAAAAAATAGTGATAGCATCAAATGCCGGCAAGGATGCAAAGATCACTCACATATGGCTAGTGGGAAGGCAAAACGTTATAGCCACTCTGAACAAGAGTGTGGCAGTTTATTCACAAAATTAAATATGTGCTTACTATCCGACCCAACAATGTCAGTGTTTGGCATGTGTCCCAGAGAAATGAAACCATGTTCACACAAAAACCTGAACATAAATGTACACAGCATAATAGCTCCAAACTGGAAACAACTCAGTGACTCTTAAATGGGTGAATGGTTAAACTGTGGTAGGTCCATACGAGGGAATACTACTCACCTACAAAAAGAAACACAGACCCAGTGCATGTAACAACTTGATGGATGGATCTCAAGGGAATCATGCTCAGTGAAAAAAAGACATATATATACGATATCTTTGACATACTAAAATTATAGAGATGGGGACAGGGTAGTTGTTAACAGGGCTTAGGGAGAATGGGAGGAAGGGGAGTGGCTGTGGCTATGGGTATAGCATGAGGGATCCTTGTGAACTGTGGCTGTCACATGAATTACAGGTATGATAAAAACTGCATAGAACTGGATACTCACCAACATACATATGAGTTCATGTAAAACTTGTAAAATCTCTGAATAAGGTCAGTCAACTTAATCAATGCTAATTTCCCAGTGGTAATACTTTACTGCAGTTACATAAGACACGACCATTGGAGGAAACTGGGTGAAGGACAGATGGACCTCTCTGTATTATTTCTTACAATTGAATGTGAATCTACAACTAGGTCACAATAAAAGAGTTTTTAAATAATCATATTTGTTTAAAAAAAACTTTGCTCTCTATCTCTTTATTCTGATTTATTTTATTTTCTTAGAGCACTTATACTATCAAATATCACACGTTTATTTGTCCCTTTTTTTGTTTGTTTCCCCCACTGATATATAAGCTTTATGTATAAGGGTAGAGACTACGTCTGGTTGGTACTGTGTCTTCCTCACCCTAGAACACATCTTGCACATAACTGGTGCATAATACATATTCATGGAGTAAGTTCATCAATATGAAATATGGAATGAATGAATGAATGAATGAATGAGCACTTCTCATAGTGTTCTGTGGCACTATCAACATTTCTGAAAGCTCTTAAACCTAACTATAACCATTCATTCAACATTTTGCACATCTTCTAACTCCAAGAGTTATGGCTCTCAGTGCAGAAATATGTCTTTTATAATGACAGAGTTGTAACTTATCTTCCCAAGGACTTAATGCCGCCTTTGCTTTCAGCCTCCAGACAGTCTACCCTCCCTAACAAAGGTGAAAATATGGGCCGAGTTAGATAATTACGTACAAGAACTTGTTTCAGCTTGGATTCCATTTGGCAAGCATAAATTCAGAATCTGCTTCATGCATGCTTCATAAACTCGAGAGAAAAACACATAGCAATAATAAAATAAAATGGTATATTTTAACTATGTATCATAGATTAAAGTTAAATAATTACTTTTTTCTTTGGTCAAAAGCCTTATCTCAATGAAGCTGAGTTTATTCTAAGGTGCCAATAAATGATCGTCAAAGCCAAACTGAGGCCAAGAACTTGAACTGTGAACCAAACAAAAGAACAAATTGTACTAATTTACTAGATCTGAAACCAAACCTTGATACAAATTGTTTACTGAAATGTGAACCAGTTCAAGTTTGATAGAACTTTTCAAACACACCTGATGATTCAGTGTAATGAAGTAACTGAGTATTATATAGGTTCAAATAACAAAACAAATCACAGATCCAACTTGAATGAAACTAATATTTCTTTCACAGTGAATTGACCAAAGAAGACATAATAGCAGTGTGAATATAAAACCTCTTTTCCAAGTCAACATTATCATATGGTAAGTTTTAAAACAGCAAGCCTGCAATTATCTTTCAAATGGAGGATATAAGATTCTTTTGAGCTGCATGTTTTGAGCAGAAGGAGGAAGAAATTAGGGGTTCTGAATTATCACGGAATAGGAAAGGTACAGGTGAGATGCAGGGTGTGTCTGCTCAGAAATGAGAAACCCAACTACCCCTTGAGACTGAGTTTTAACATTATGAAGAAACTTACAGTCATGGGATAGTTATAACACCACTGCTGCAGAACAAATACTGCCTCACAAATGGACCCAAACTGGACCAAAAGTCCTAATCTGGAGTGGCAGATGTGTTACCTGTGGAGAGTTGGGTGGGAAGGGGGTTCATTTCTTTGTCCACCATCTTCTGGTACAAAGCCCTGAGGCTGAAAGGCTCCACGGTGAAAGGCAGCGTCCCAGTCAGCATAGCATACATGTTCACACCTCTGAAAGCAGAGACATCATACATGAGACCAGAAACAGACACCAGGGAGGGGAAGACAAAGAGAATACAAGCTTAGGCGAGAATACAAGCTTAGGCAAGACTTCCATGCTGCTGCTCTCATGCCAAACTCAACAGACCCTCTTCATTCAAAGTCGTCTTTCCAGAACCCTTAGCATCACATTAAAAGGCTTGCATGAGAGCACTACGTGTGAAGACCTGTACAGGGTACCACAGAGATAAGCAGGAATTTCAAGAACATAAAGGGCTACCTCCTAAGAGGGGAACCATAACCCTCTGCTCTCTCTGAGTGCTATGGTAAGAAGTCAAGGAAAGCCCAGACTGAATGATGTGAGAAACACCTGGGACTTATGAAGAATCTCAAATAAGAGTAGTCCTGGCCATGCGCAGGGGCTCACTCCTGTAATCCCAGCACTTCATGAGGAGAAAGTGAGAGGTTTGTCTAAGCCCAGGAGATCAAAACCAGCTTGGGTAACATGGTGAGACCTTGTCTCTATGATAAAATTTTTAAAATTAGCTAGGCATGGTGGCACATGCCTGTAGTCCCAGCTACTCAGGAGGCTGAGATGGAAGGATCACCAGAATCAGCAGGTCAAGGCTTCAGTAGCCTGGGTGACAGAGTGAGACTCCAAGTCAAGAAAAAAAAAAGAGTAGTCAAGGCAACCCCTTTGGGTCCCCTCCCACCATGGGAGCTTCTCTGTCCTCTCAATTAATCTTGCTTTCTCAATTCAAAAAAAAAAAAAAAAGAGTAGTCCTGCCATTAGTTTTCCAAGGATGGTTTACAAGGCAGAACCTGGAAGAGACCTGACCAAAGAATACAGGGAAAGCATCCACCTGGGAATACCAGACACAGCCTAACCAGCAGGCTGAGTTACCACTCAGGCCTAGGAAACAAGGGCTTCATACCAAAAACTGGTGTTTTTCTCTACTCTTAAATTTTGCCTTAACTTGTAATCAGAGAAATTCCATGGAGGTCTTCTTCCCACCCTTATGTTTTATTGTTTATTGTGAGACTCTGCTGCCTGGCCCTAGTCCAATGTCTCAGATGTGGTTGAAATACTTTGAGTGGGCTTAACTCCTTATAACCAAAGCCAATCTAGAGAACAGCAACATCTTTTTGGAAGATTTTTATGTTCCTGATGTGCAAATCTAATATCATTTTGATGAGATTTCCTGATGAGGATGAAACACTTGCCTACCAAGAGGTCTCAAGTGTTCAAATGCACCCAAGGGAATATGCTTTAAAAAGAGGCAATAAGATTTCTAGTCAAAACAAATCCAATGAGACTGACTGAAATTAAGACCCTCGGGGCCCAGTTCTACAAGGCACCTCTGAATTATGGCATTCCAGATAATGACAGGTACTGGAGCCCACAGCTCCTGGTAGAAATCATTCTCAAATTTCAGACATATGCTAAGACCCGGTTCCCTCTCTGAACTCACAGTAAGGCGACAGACACATAAACATTCAATCCACAAATACTTGCTGGATGGCTTTCTGTCCTAGGCAGGGTTATAGGTGCTGGATACTGGTAATCAGAGAAGAACCCACCCTCTGGGATTTACAGTGGACAGGAAGACAGGCAATCAACACCTAAACAAATAGATAGCACAGTCCTTTCAAGTGGCGATCAGTGCAGAGGGAATAAGAAGATGCTGAGCTACCTAGCTTCTGGTCACAAGAAGAGTTCAATTCAGGGAGAAAGAGGACTTAGAAATATGCACGTAAGGAGGAGAGGCCTCTCAAGTTGGTGAGCGGATGTTTGTGCCTGCAGGTATCTTTGGTTGTGAGAATGGGAAGATAAAAAGTGCATAAACCAATGAACAAGGCATTGCAGAGCCATTTTGAGCAGGACTTTCCCGTGTGTGTTTAATGAGCCCCATTCCCCAGAGGATGGACATGTGTTAGGTGGAGCCAGACGCAGTGGCTCACACCTGTAACGCCAGCACTTTGGGAGGCTGAGGTGAGAGGATTGCCTGAGCCCAGGGGTTCAAGACTAGCCTGAGCATCTGGCAAGACCTTGTCTTTACAATAAATCAAAAAAATGAGCTGGGAATGTTGGTGTGTGCCTATAGATCTATTACTTAGAAGGCTGGGGTGGAAGAATTGTCTGAACCTAGCAAATTGAGACTGTGGTGGCCATGAGTGTGCCACTGCACTTCAGCCTGGATGACAGATGGAGGTGCCTACTCCAAAAAAAAAAAGATGTTAGGTGGATATTTCTATGGTCAAATTATGTAGGGAGTAGTTATCTTGTATACATGGATTACAGGGGCTCAGAATGGGGAACAGGAAACTATAGCAGTGAATCTAGCAGGCTGATATTAAAGTCAGAAAGGGAATGATGGTACGCAACAGAAAGGAAAAGGCAGAAACATGGTAGAGACATCGGAAGGGCCTGTGCGAGGTGGCACACTTGGAAAGCAGGACCAACAGTGGTAACAGCGACGGGACTGAGGAAGCTAGGAGGAGAAACATTTTCGGGGTGGAGGGAAGGAGAACGAGGGCTGACAACCTGTTTGAGAACCTGCTATGCAGTACTGCATTTCTGGGTATGTTTGAAGTAGTGCTAAAACATCCTTGCTTTGAAAAATTCTTAAAGATTGGGAAGCTAAAAGGGCCTCAAGATTATAGAATCTGCAAACAACGAGGCCCTGGACACATGGCTTTTATGCATGCAAACCCTCTGGCATAACCCACTGAGCTGCTGCTGGAAACCATTGAACACTCTCTGAGACAAGCTGTTCCCAACACTTGTGAGTCAGCCCGTCCCATTCAGGGCAATTCTATTCCTGAGGAAAGGCTTCCCAAGACTGAGCCAAAGTTTACATTTCCCATCCCTTGGTTGCAGAACAAGACCAGTTGCTTTTCCATGCTTAGCACTTGACATATCTGAAAACCGGAACCAGAATCTTCCTTCCCTTCTGTGTCTTCCCCAGGCCAGGACCCCAAAACTTTTGTGCTTTATGTGACCTGGCTGGGAGTTCCCTCGACGATCTGGTTCTCTGTCCTGAATGCACACCAGTCTGGTCGTGCTGTTAATGAGTTTTCAAGTTTTCATGCTGTATAACAAAGGCCTAATATTTCAACAGAGTTAGAGTGAATTGAGCAGAAGAAGGGGGAAAAAACCAAACCAGGATTCTGTCCCTAATCACCACCTATGTGTGTCTAATCTTGGCTCTGGCATTCACACGTAAGGCTGCGGAGTCTGGTACTTATATACAATATCATTCTTTCCACCGAAAGGTGTTTAGTGATGCCTAACCCGTGCGGTGTTTCTCAGACTGAGTTACACGGACCCATTTTCAGGGGTTCAACAGTTCTAATGTTGATTTTCTTTTTGGTGATATGCTAAAGCGTTTCACAAAGGCACTGGGTGACCACCACAGAACCAGGAACACCCACCATTGGGTGTCAATGCCTGCTTTTGTATTTATTTACTAATGCACAATTCTTGCCAAAAAAAGATCACTTGTATTGCCACAGACTAATGAGAAGGGAACAGAGGTGGAATTCATTTACCAGTGATGCACTGGTGTTTATATAGGAGGAAAAGAAAGTCTCCTGATAATTGAAATGGCACAGTGGTCCCCAAAGTATGGGCCTTAGACTCACCAGAGAAAAACTGGTTGAAAATGCCCATCTCTTTTTTTTTTGAATCTGGGTCTCACTTCTGTCACGCAGGCTGATCACAGCTCACCACAGCCTCAACCTTCCAGGCTCAGGTGATCTTTCTGTCTCAGCTTCCCAAGTAGCTGGGACACCAGGAGCACATCATCACGCCCAGTTAATTTTTTCTATTTTTTTAGAGACAGGGTCTTGCTATGTTGCCCAAGCTGATCTCAAACTCCCGGGCTCAAACAATACTCCCATTTCAGCCGCCCAAAGTGCTGGGATTCAGGCATTAGCCACAGCGCCTTATGCACATTCTTGAAAAAGCACATTCTTGGGTGCCACTCCAGAACTACTGAAACTCTGGGGGTGTTTTTGCAAGCCCTGAAGATGCCTCTGATGCACACTAAGTTTGAAAGCTACTGGAAGAATGACAAGTGGGGGGGCGGGGCGTGTAGAGGAGGGAGCTGAGTCAGCACAAGATGGGTCTGACAAACCATAGAACCTGTCCCCAGCAGTGAGAACGACACTCGTGGTGTTCAGTAATTCACTTTCCACAAAACATTGGCCACTGCATGAAACGAATGTTGCTAATTCAAATATTTCAGGGTTCTTTTAGTCTCAGTTATATTTAACTTGTAAATGAGCTTTGGTTTTTCAGTTGTACAGGGCCATAAATAAAAGAGGTTTAATTTTGGGCTCATGCACTTGTGAGTAACATTTAAATAAAAATAACTCAAGTCAACACAAGGAGTTATCAAGAACATTCTTCCTTTAAAAGGACAGTGCACAAAACTCAAGTTTGAAGAATACTACTGTATGACCTTTTATATTCCCTTTTATCTTTAGGGAACACACAGCTTCCTGCCACAGGCAGGGGACATCACACAGTGCAGAATGCCGCTAGGAGGTAGGATGTCTTGGGAATGAGAGGAGGACTCAGTTTAAGGAGTTTGGAAAATGTGCGGGACCCGAGAACCAACTCTAAAACCTTTATGAAAGCTTTTTTTTCAAGGAGAACTTGAGATGCCAAACTGCTTGCCTCCTTGTTACCTACTGACTTCAAAAAATGATAAGAATCTTCTCAAGTCACTACATATTACACTGGCGTTTACTTCTATCCACTATCTGGCTGGGACCATAGATAAAAGCAACAGATGGTTGTCTTAAAGATGGCACCAGTGAACTCCAGGTGCAGGTCTGACCAGGATTGAGCAAGTGGTTTTCATAGTAATTCTAACTCTAAATGGACTCCACTATTCCATTTCTTTTGGAGGAGTTTATCTTCCACAAAATCAGTCACAATTTCTTAAAGAGGATCTAGCTTTCTTATCCCAGGGTCTCTTACCCATAAAATGTGGGTAATAGGA